ATACATACATACATATACACACACATATATATATATATATACACATATATACACACATATATACACACATATATACACACACATATATACACAGCCAACTATGTAAACCAGCAAACACCTACCTGACCAACTAACTAACTATATACAGCCTATTGACAAAGAGTGGATGGGAGGGAATCAGATAGATACCCAGATAGCAAGGATAACTTGCCACAAACTTGTGCCAGGGTTAAATTGTAATTCTTGTTAACTTGCTGCACACATTCCTGGCAAGTTGTAGACTTGCAGCACAAGTTCTAGTTGACACTTTTTTTAATTTGTAGCAAATTTGTTTGGCAAGTCTACAGTAAGAGTGCGGCAGGTCTTAGCAAGAGCTCTGCAAGTGTACAGCACTTTTGCAAAGCACGTTGATCTGGAGACTTGCAATGCAGATTTGCTGTAATTGTGCAACACAATTGTGAAGCTTGACAAGTCTGCAATAGTTTAGCAAGTCATTTTCAAACTTGCAGCTCAATTGCTTGCTATCTGGGTACAGGAGTGCCAGGCAGGGGATACAAGGTGGAACAGAATCACAGGTTACCAGGAAAAGAAGCAGTTAGTATGGGCACACAGGTACAATGCTGAGACACTGGGAGTGTTCTCAGGAGAGGCTAAAAACCCAATTGCTGGGAACTGCTGACTGCTGGAAGACATCCGCTGGTGGACAATGGAATTACATACTTCAGGTCCGAGGACCACAGTGCCACCAGCAGGTGCTCTGGTTCCGAACAGGTGACTTGTCTAATGGCTTCCCATATTGTTAGAGTACTACATGCTTAGAGTTTTACTTCTCTTGTTGCAGCAGGAGATCCCAATCTTCCTGTGCAGTGTGTGCAACATTCCTGGGTGTAACATTAAAGGTCCGCTCCATCCAAAGAAATAATTCAGCTTTGAGTTGGAAACAGGGGTCTGAATGACTTGTAGGAACGTTGCAGTCTTGAGAGTGCAGTGGCAGAATTCTGCTACAGTCATGTGTGTCTATGATGAAGATATCACATTCTTGCAGCTGGATCTGCCAGTTATGCTTTCTTCACTTTTGTGATTCTAGCAGAAGAGGGTGATACTATCATTTCGTTTTGTAAAATTAGCAGCTGGCGGATGGCATTGGAAATCTGTCCAGAATGCCCCCGGGTCAGCAACTATACATATATAATTAGTTCTGGGTTGTGTTTCAATGGAGTGAGACTCTCACATGAGTTTATATTGACAGACACAAACCTCTCTCATGTCCACCTCTACACTGCCACTGGGAGGTGGAGGGGGGGAGCTCTTTGGCATAGTACTTGGCAGTTCCAGTAACACTACAATCCCCCCAGACACACTTGACTCCCCATTGCCCTGTGATGGATAACGATCTCACGTTTAGTTTACTGATTTGTATTGAGATTGCAGTTCATCACGAGAGTGAGCTTGGAGCGGTGGGACACACAAGGACCATGGGGAACAAAAGTAGCCACCCTCCAGAAGGAAGGACAGCGTCAGCACCAATTCAGAGATGATGATTTGAGGATCTACAGCCGATTGATAGACAAATACGATACATTTTTGTTAATAGTTAGGGTACTTAAATGCATTTTAAGATTTAACTCCTGAGTTTAGTGCCACTTTATTGTGACATGCAAGGACAGATCAGAGGGTGATCCGGTGTAGCAAGAGAGGTTAAATGGCCCACCTACAACTATGAATGCAGCAACCCTTGTTCACCCTTCAATACAAGGGACTGTCCTTGTCAATTTAGCATTGTTGACAACTAGACCTGTAGAATACATTTATACTTATTATATGAAGGTCATGTAAATGTGGGTCTCTAAAATTGAAGAGCATAGATAATCATTTATAAAAGTGGCCTAAAGGGTCCATAACTAAAGTTCAGTCCTTAAAATGTATTTATTATTAGATAGAGTGGGAAGAGTTAGAGCCTATAGGACTATTTTATTGTCAACTGTGTCCATTAGGCATATTTCCCTTCTCTCCCTACTGGGAAAGGAGCTGATGCAAAATCTCTCCATAGAGAACACTGTAAAGTGAGGATGGGTAGGAACTTCTGACAATGTTTATATTGCTCTCCGTGCCTGGTGACCACGGCTACCTCAATTTCTTGTCTTAGAGAAATGAGGGGAAATCTCCCCAATGGGGTCAAATACACAATTAAAAACCCAACAGAAATTTTAACTCTTTCCCACTAAAAAGTATATTTTTTGGCTTAGGTAGACTTTAAGCAAAAGTAGTTTAAAAAACAAGGGATGTTATTGGTTTCTGTAGGCAGCTATCCCACGTTTGTTACACTCTTCTTTGCCCCAGTATTGGTCAGTCAGTCCTTGTCTTATTGCTTTTTTTTTTTACTGTAGATTGTTGGAAAGTGGTATGGCATCGGTTTGGCCTCCAACTCTGGCTGGTTCAAGACTAAGAAGCAGTTCTTGAAGCAGTGCAGCACCGTCATTACTCCTACTGCTGATGGGAACCTCGACGTTGTGGCCACCTATCCTAAGTAGGTCAACCATCTGGTGGTCAGAGCAGTGGGGGTGGGTAGGGTGGTGTTTGTACAAAAAGTGTATGCTCCCTTTAACAACAACATTAATCCTTTTGTCAGCCACAATATTGACTGGTACATCTATGGGGAAAGAGAAGACATCTTTAAAAGAAAACTGATAAAAGAGAAAAATGGAGAACGTGATTGCTAACCACCTTCTGAAAATTCCTGTTACCTGGCTGACTCTTGCTTGAATCCATTTTATATTGCTGATCTATAACAAGCATGCAGCAAGTAAAGACAGAACTCCTGATCTCTGTTTGTTTTCTGGATCTGTATCTCAGAAAGCTTTGAAATCAGCAGATCAGCATTAAAGCCACGCAAATAGATTTTTAGTATGAGGTCAGCAAAGACAGTTCCTGTATTTCTCTCATGGTGCGTTTCCTTTAAGATATTGATAAAAATAACACCACCCAAAACCTGATGCCATGTAACCCATGTAGGTGGATTACAGAAAATTACAGAAACTGTTGAACTTTGAAGTAATTACAGTTACAAACATAGCTGGGAAGGTGAGTCACATTCAGCTAATTACCAGCTAGCAGTATATATGTGGGGTTTCAAAGCAATGCTAAAAGAGTTCCAAATTCTGTACATTTTGTTTATAAAAAGAATCACACACACAGATACAGGCAAGGCAGGACATAGAAACTAGCTTTCTTTCTTAAGGAATGCCCCATTCACATCAGATCCATTGCGTTGCAATCCATTTTTCAACAAGGGCACTGAAAAATGTATGGGTGTGAATGAAACAAGTTCACATTGCTGCGAAGCGTTGCAGTCCGTTGCAGTCCGTTGCAGTGCGATGAAAAAAAAGTAGGGCATGCTCTTCTTTTTTCAGTACAACATAACAGAACAGGACAAAAACAGATATAATCGCAACACAACAGAAGTAAAAAAAAAAAAGTAAAAATACATATATGTTTGTCCACTCAGGACTTGTTAAAATAATAGAGATTGTCAAAAAAAAGAGAGAAAAAAATAAAAGAATAAATAAAAAAAATGCAACAGAACGGACTGGAAGTCAACAATAATTGACATTGCAAGTCAACAGACCCTTTGTTGACTTGCGATTTCCTTCTGATTTTGGTATGGACGGGCCCTAAGATCACTGACAGATTCCTTGTGATTGGCTGTGTTGATAACTGCACTTTTGCATTTTACTTTTGCCTTACTGAACAGATGATGTATGGTTCTGTTACAGGCAGGACCGATGTGAAAAGAAGAGCATGACCTACATCAAAACTGAAGAACCTGGCCGTTTCCTGTCCAAGAGCCCACGTAAGTCCATGCCACGGACGCCATATTATCCATTATAGCAGAAAACAGGTTCATACTTTGTCAGGTATTGGACTGCTGCTTGCCTGCATGCAGACAAAATAATTACCTACTGTTCTCTCTAAGGTTACGGCAGTGATCACATCATCTCAGTGGTGGAGACCAACTACGATGAATACACTGTGATGCACACTCTGAAGACTAAGGGCAATGAGGTCAACACTGTTGTGTCACTGTTTGGTAAGTGCTCTTTCAAACCTTAAATGAATCTGTGCAAAGCAACATATCACTTAATTGCCTAACCCATGCTGCTTATACTCACTTTACCTTTGTTGCCTTGCTGCCCTATTTCCCTACCAGAGAGAATAGAAATGCTCTGTAAGCTCTAGGTCAATCTAGTTGGAGGTTACACAAGGCTAAAAAACCCCACTCCTTTGTGACAGTACTCAGGCTTGGCAATAGGCTGCTCAGGCACCCAGTGCTGCATTGTGAAAAGTAAAGAAGGGAGTCACACACTCATCAATACCCAGAAGTACAAGTAATTCACTTTCATCTGTCAAGCAGTTAGAAGGGGTTGTGAGAAAGAAGGGGGGGGGGGGATATTAATCAGTGTTAGTGTATTCTTATTCAGGTAAATATAAAATAGTGAAGACTTGAAACACAAAAATGGCAAAGCCCTAGCTGAGAAGACATTTAGGGTTATACACAAAAGGGTGAAGAGTTTGGAGAAGGCAGGAGAGGGGAACAATCTAGGCCAACATAGCGGATTTGGAAAAATTCTCCAATTGAGCTCACTTTACAGTTCAGCTATGTTGTCCTAGATTGTTCAATTCTCCTGCCTTCTCCTAACTCTTCACCCTTTTGTGAAGAGTCCTGATTGTCTTAAGTAGCTAGCTAGCTTGGAGAGGTTCCCAAAAGACACTCAGGCAGTGCTGAGCAATCTTATTGGAAAACACTGCATTGTTTTTAAAATGAAAGTCATGAATGTACCCTGTAATACATTTTTCAGCGAAGATTCTGTGCCAGCAGTTTTAAAGGAGAACTATATCATAGTTCTAGCCGACCTGTGACAATGAAACTGTCATAGGTCGGCTCAATAGATCGGGAAGTGAGCGAACACATACGGTCGCTCACTCACTTCTCGATCATGTCCCTGCAGAGAGCCATGACTGTCACTCACGGCTCCCTGCAGGGATTCCCCACCTCCCCGCACCGATCCTCTAGCGCTGACTGGCGGAACGGACGGGGAGGGGGCGGGTACAGCTGGCTCTGCCTTCAGATAGGCAGAGCCAGCTGTCAATCATGCAGCTGGGTGGATCTCGACAGTAATGTCAGGATCCGTCCCGGCTGCAGCGGTCTCAGTATACCGCAAACTGTAGCTTGCGATATACTGAACTTTGGGTCACGGGAGGACACTAGTTTATGTCCTCCCGTGACCCTTAGGAGAACTATGGGGAAAACCACTTATCCCATAGTTTTCCTTTAAACATAACAACATCAGATTATAAAATTCATAACTAAACAGCTAAAACAATTGAATAACATTAAACAAAAAAAACATTTTTTCACCTTCCATACACAAAAGATGTCGTCCACAAATGATGCATGATTTTTTTCAAAATAGGCAGAATTGTAAGTGAATAAGGGGTTAAAAAGGTCATTTGTTTCATGCTGATCTGGAAAGAGGACTACAGAAATGTCATTTCATGCTGAGCTGTGCTTATAATTTATGTGTCCTTATCTCAAGATGTATGATATGTCCACTTCCAAAAAGAAATGAAATTAGAACTCCAGCAAAGCTTCTAGTTTTGGATAACATGGGGAGGGCATGGAACTATTTGTTGCTGTTACTGTCCCCTTTGATACAACAATTATTACTATTTATCAGTCACCAGGACAGAAAGTAAAAGGGACTACAAAATGTTATGTTAAAATAGAGGATATATTTTCCATTGAGGACAGCTGCCAAAGGTGTGATTTTTCCTTGGTAAGATTTCTTCTTACTTCCTGTTGTGTAATTGGGACAGGAATTAAGAAGAAATCTCCCCAATGGGGACACAAACAGGAGGAAAAACCTACCAAAAAAATTCTAACCCTTCTGCAATTAATCCAAAACAATACAAAATTACTTTTTGCTGTAAATCTACAGGGAAATTGGGTACTTACAGCTAAGGCTTTGTGAACCGCTTGTTGATGAATCAGGGGCACAGTGTGTATCACAGTGTGTTTTACAGTGCCTCTGAAATAACTGGATGTATTCTCTATTGCAGCCAGAGGCAAAGAGCTGAGACCAGAAATCCTGGAAAAATTCAAGCAGACTGCTAAGAATTATGGACTGACTGATGAAAACATCATCATCCTTCCTCAAACAGGTATCATCATCGCAACACACCTGTCACATGACATGTCAGATTGGCTGCTATGGTATGCTGCTCTCATGGCCACATGAACTCTAGCATGAAGTAACATAGCTTTGTTGCTTTTACCAACCAAATTCCAGTTATTACCGTAACAAACTAGAGCAGCCTTTCTCAACCTTTTTACCCCAGGGGAAACCTTAAAATTAATTTTAGGTCTCGGGGAACCCCTGCTAAAACCAGTATAATTGAAGTAAATGGAAAGCATGCCCCGTATGTTGGTGGCCATTGGGTGGCTCTGATTACAGTGGTGGCCAGAATGCCCACTTTACAGTTAGTTACAAAGATAGATGGTGTAATGCTACTGGTTCTGCAAAGTGGCATTGGCCCCAAAACTATGCAGACACCATCAGATGGGAGGTCAGTCAGCCACAGCTAAAGAAACCCCTTGCAACCTCTGCAGAAACCTTAGGGTCCCACCAAACCCTGGTTGACAATGACTGCACTAGAGGAATGACAACTTGAATCTGAATAGTTACCAGAAGGCTTGTTGGCTGAGTTGAAGCTGTGGGGATGCTGTTTCAGTGGCCAGTAAAGGAACTCTCACTGTATCACAATCAAGCGGCTGTGGGGGATTTGGACAGCAGCTGCGGAACTAATGTAGTAGGCTGTATGGGATTCGGTCAGTCAGGCGACTCCCTACACACTCAGTGCGCTAGGAAGTCGTTCCACATCATGTATCCCAGCCTTGAATCAGGGAAAGTTACTCTAGTGATGGGGGTCTGATGGGACTGTAGTATGACACAGCCGGAGGAGGTATAGATTGGTATAATTGCACACACAACCACAATTGCCTTGGCTGACTCTAACAACCAGTGCATCCAGGCAATAATCTGCAGTATGGACTACTGCTAACACTCTTTATACCCAAGTGACAACAGCAGTATGGAATTAATGCAAGTAGATAGGCATTTAGCGTAGGCATGTAACCTTCAGCAGTACATCTTAATACACCTCTTTAGGCATGTAACTATTCAGTAGTAATTAACACAGGCATATAGCTTCAACATGTAAACTCAGCAGCAGTAGTATCAGGCAACTGACAGGTAGTTCAATGTAGAGCCAGAGCCCAGATACTTGCGGTTCAGCTGTTTAACCAGTGGGGATATGTCTCTTTCCTGCGAGGCTGAGAGGAGCTGTAGCGAGGAGATGTGCCAGCGAGTACTGCAAGCTGGACAGCGTGTGGGAGCCGGACTGGTTCAGTGGAGACAGTGGAGGCAAATCGCTCGACATTCCACATTGACTGAACGCCGAGTGATTGCCTTCACTGGGTTTATGAGACCACGCCGAGCCCAGGGGGCGGAGCCCCACATGACGTCACGGCCGGAGCGCCGCGGCCGCTGGATCGGCCGGGGGTGCCGAGGACGAGCCTGACACACTGGTTGGAAAGTTGGCATGGTTTAGCAATTAAGTCAGGGAAGGTCATGGTCCTGTTACAAAGTGAAGTTAAAGTGACAATAAACTCAGGAGTTAGATCTAAAAAATGCATTTAAGTATCCCATTAACAAAAATGTATCTTATTTGTGTATCACTCGGCTGTAGATCCTCAAATCATCTCTCAATTCATACTGACACTGTCCTTCCTTCTGGAGGGTGGATACTTCCCTGTGTGTGTTGTAAAGTAGCCACCACTGCTCCAAGCTCACTCCCATGATGGACTACAATCTCAGTATAAGTTAGTAAACTAAACATGTGATTGTATTCCATCACGGGAGCGAGGTTGGATCGGTCGCTACTTTTAAACACACACAGGGACCATGGGGAACAAAAGTAGCCACCCTCCAGAAGGAAGGACAGCGTCATCTCAAATTCAGAGATGATTTGAGGATCTATGGCCCAGTGATACACAAATAACATAAATTTTTGCTAATAGTTATGGTACTTGCAATGCATTGTTTAGATTTAACACTTTAACTCAGAGAGAGGCACAGAAGACGCATTTTTGACTAATAAACATAATAGCTTGCCACGTGTGGTGTTTGCTATTAGGTATCGCTACTACCTTTAAAAGTTTATAACAAAGTACAGCTTTACTTTATGGCTATATTAAAAAGTGTGATCTCTGGAAAAACGCTGTTCCATGCGTACTCCGGTGATTAAAAGCCTAGTTATTTGTTACATTATCACTGCTAAAAAGAAGGAACAGTCAGACAGAACTCTAATCCTCCCCCTCAGCAAAGATAACTAGATGCCTAGGCTTTTGCTTATGTGACCACCACTAAAAGAAGCCTGCAGCAGTGTTTTCTTCAGAAAAGGTAACTATTTCAGCCCTTCTACTCTTTATTTATCCAGCCCAGTAGGTCTAGTAACACAGCTGTGTGTAAGATATGTATTCCACAGTCTTACAAGTAAACAAGCACCTTTGGCTTGGCTAGCTTGATCGTACCTTAGTATGCATGTTTATGTGCATGAGGAAGAGAGAACACCATAAACCTGTGGGACTGGTTTATCTCAGAATGAAACCATAGGGGTCTATTCACGAAGCTGCCGAAGGCTCTGGCCATAGCTTCGGCCGATCCTTCGGCTAGCTTTGGCCCCAGGACCCCTTCGGTTCAGTAGAACCGAAGGGGTGCTGTACGGGCTATTCACAATAGCCCGTACAGCTCCCGATCATGGCCGAGCGGCTCAGCCGAGCCGAACGCATATGCATCGGCTCGGCTGAGCCGTGCTGAAAGCCGAAGCTGGCCGAGCGGCCGGCCATTGGCCGGTCGACAGCCTGCTTCTGACAGCTGGGCGGAGCCAGCAGTGATCTTACGGCTGGCTCCGGCCACTTTCAGAGAGATCAGCGTCCCTGGTTACCTGCTAATCAGGGACACTGATCTCCAAACAGCTAACTCTCCCTGGCGCCCCGGGCGTCTCCTGCTCCCGGCCGCCAAGGAGAGAGACATTTCTGTGTCTTTTTTTCTTTATTCTGACACGAGCGATGTCAGAATAGAAAAAAAAAAAGAATTTTCCCATTGAAAAGCATTGGGACATTACTATTGGCTATTTCACTTTGCAATAGCCAATAGTAAACTAGCATGGTACCCGCCCTCTGCTGCAGTTCCCAATCAGGTCCATCAGCAGAGGGCTGAGCATGTTCGGCCGACCCGACGCCACGCGAAGCAAGCCGATGTACTGCTGATTTCAGGTGATGTACGGCTGAAATCAGCTGTACCAGCCTGAAGTGAATAGCCGAACAGTGTTCGGCTCACTTCACTTCAGAACAGTCATTCACTCGGCTGCCCTCGGCAGCTTAGTGAATAGACCCCATAGTGAGCAGACAGTGTTTTAGAACCTTTTCCGATTGCCTGTTTTTCCCTGGGATTGATTTGCCAGGGATGACTGCTGGTGACTGCTGGTGCCCACATTATGAGATCATTTGTACAATTGGCATGCAACTGGCCAAACTGGGCGACAATTATGTGATGTCTACAGCCAGCTTAAAAAGCATAAACCTCACTTGACCGGACAAGATATGCAGTCTACACAGCTCTAAATTCTCTCTGTTTTCTTTCTACAGATAAGTGCATGACTGAAGCATAAGAGGTGAGTACATGGACCACACTGAAAAATTTACATTTAAATATATTTATTTGTTTGTAACTGGTTAAAGGAAACCTGCCATGAGAGAAACCCTGTCATTGCTGACATCTCTTTCTTGAAATGCTAGCTGTCTGGCTTTTATACTGTTGTCTTATTAACTTTTTGGGTTTCTGGCATCTAATAAGCATACAGATAAGGAATTGTGGACAGCACAGTGGCTTAGTGGTTAGTACAGCTGCCTTACAGCACTGTGGTCCACAGTTTTGTTCCTGGCCAGGACGCAAGCTGCATGGAATTTGCATAGTTTCCCTCTGCTTGCGTAGGTTTCCTCCCACACTCCAAAGACATGTTAGTAGGTTAATTGGCTCTTCTCTAAACTGGCCCTAGTATGTGCATGCACATGAGATAGGGACTTTAGACTGTTAGCAGCTTAAGGACAGGGACTGATATGAGTGTACAGTATGTAAAGTGCCGAATAAATTGTCTTTGTGCCTGTAATGAATGAATAACATTTTCAGAATACTTGTCACGCTGATGTATGGAGACCTAACCGGGTACCTATTATTCTCTAATGGCAGGTGTACATTAAAGAAGAACTCCAGGCAAAAGTTTTCTTAACCCGAACAGTGGGGCTGCCCCCACACTACAAGGGTTAAGTGCTCATTTTTGTCTAGGTACAAAAACAATAAATAAATAAATTATACTCACCTGTACGCCGTTTCTCTTAGACCGCTCACTGGGGCCTCTCTCCCCCTTCGCTGCAACGGTCTAAGGATCCTTCAGTCATTCTTTTTCTATATGCAGTGTATAGGACAGTGGTGGCGAACCTTGGCACTCCAGCTGTGCCAAAACTACAAATCCCAAGATGCATCTGCCTCTGGGAGTTATGTCTGTGGCTGTCAGTGCCTTGCAATGCCTCATGGGACTTGTAGTTCCAAAACAGCTGGAGTGCCAAGGTTCGCCATCACTGGTATAGGATGTAAAGACACAGAGGGGCATACTATCGCTGGGGGAACGCTGGCTGAAAAGTTTGGGTATAACTTTTTTATTTTTGCACCTAGACAAAAATGAGAACTTAACTCTTGCAATGCAGGTGTAGCCTAACTGGAAGGGTTAAGAAAAATGTTGCCTGGAGTTTTTCTATAAAGAGTACCTGTATAGGTGGCAAGCATTTCCAACATCTGCTTCAGCTTTGCAGCTTCCTTCATCACCACTCCAACTTTAGCCTGCTCATTGGACCATGCAGCAGTATTATCACCTGTAAAACAACAAACATTAGTGTAGCACTACCACATTCGAAGATCAAAATATAAAATAATATAAATATGAAACATCAACAATTATATCAATTAACATAACATTTAAAAAAAAACATAAATTGTGTAGTTAATTTAGTTGAGAACTTAAAATGTCCGTGTTATAGAACACCCATTACATTCAAAGTGCAAAGTCTACTAGATGTGGAAAAATCACCATATGATCAGTGAAATAAATCCTCCACCACCATGCACCTCTCACCTTAAGGTTGGACTCGGTAATTAAACTAAGGTCTGTGTACACTTTTTTCCCTTCAAAAGTGAATAATTTGAATGCTGTCCCTCTTGCAGTTCTGTCCGTGATAAATGGTAATGAGCACAGGGAGAGAAAACGCAGACATACCATAGTGCTCACCGTTTAAAAGAATGTTTTATTAAAGTCACACATATAAACGTTTCCACTCACATATAATAATGCCCAAATATCCGTGCACAAAAAAGTTTCCATTTAGCTCACAAACAATCCCTCCTTGTGAAAAACATTTCCTAGTCTGTATACCATGGTGACATCATTTGAAACGGTTTCATATTTATATGATTCATTATTTTCTATTTTGATCTTTGAATGTGGTAACGCTACATTAATTTCCATTGTTTTATCTTTGATTGTGTTTATCACCATGTTTGCTCTTTTCCCCTCAGAGAGAAGATGCAGTACCCCAATCTTTCCACTAGATGGCATCCATGTTATAGCTGGGTTTAGCTTGCTGTGTGAAAGTCTGAGCACAATAAACTCCTGCATGAATCCCTCATCAGCCTCTTTTCTTATTGGTAGACAACTTATGATGAGCACAAGTTACTTCTTTACTTCATTTTACTTACAAAGTAGTTGGTTTTACTGAGCAAGTGGCGGACCTCTACATTTACTCCACTGCTGGTGACTGGCAGGATTGTCATGGCTGGAACTTTTCATTTCTTTACCAGCTCTGAGGCTGCCAGGGTTTGGTAGCACTGCGTCATAAGCCATCTTCACAAACCCCTTGGTTTGCGATGTGCGCAGTGTGGTCCAGGTGTAGTCTGTCACTGGGTAACTGGCTGAAAGGCAGTGGGTTCCAGTGGGACTACCCAGGCAGTCAGTAGAGATGGGGAACAGAACTGAAGTTTTACACTTTCTTTATAAAGTTTAACATTTCTTAAAATGCCCAGATAACGTTAAAAATAATAATCTAAGGGGATGAGCAAGTCAACATTTACAAATAAATATTCCCACTCAGTTGTAAGAAGTGAGCTATCTGGCCTATAAGTAACTTTACCGTATTGCCTATTGAACTATTTGGCTGTCATTTTTAGTCATTAGGAGGCTTGAACCCCTTAATGATAAAGATAAAACAAACCTTAATGCCTGAACCCAGTTTTGCACATTTGGCATGTGTTAGTAAAACTGTACATAACGCCTTAGGGGTCTGTTGATAAACAATTTAGAGGGCCGGTCGCCCTGCAAATATCTATACATTTTCTTTTTGTGCGAATTCATGCAAAATTAATGTTAGCTTATCCTTTACAAATCTAATTCCAAATATTCTTAACGTAACATGCAATGTAATGTTACAATGTGGCCAATAGATGGTGCTAATGAGCACATGAACTAAGTATTTTTCTATACTCTTTTACTCCATCTAGTGGCCATAATGCAATACTACATGACACATTGTATTAATAATTTACATTTGATTTGTAAAGAGAAAAACGAAAAAACATTTATTTTGCATGTATTCGCACCACAACAACAAAGGTTTAAAGATATTCACAGGGTAAATGGCCCTGCAAATTGTTTATAAATAGACTTTTTTTGGTAAATGGTAATGGATATTTCTTGATTTTCTTTTTTATTATCAAAATAAAACTGGCCCAAAATATTAACTGATTATTTAAAACTTTAGCTGTATATTTTTTGCCATTACCATGACCCACCACCAAAAAACCCGAAATACATTCTTCTACTCCTGACGTGTATGGCACACCACATATGTGTGCGGTGTTTGTTGTTTGTACCTGTAGTAGGGCTCATAAACAATACTGCACATTTTGCCTTCGGAGAGGGCAATTAATCCAAATTTAATTGTCAGGTATCATACCAACATTACAGACACATTGTGAAAATGCGCTACACACCGCACACTACCACATCATTCTAAAAACCTTTTTTAGACAAGTAGACAATAAACTGACAAACCACGCACACTGCAGACTACAATGATAATAAATATAAAACCTTTTTTTATCCTACCTAAAACACACAGATTCTAACACTGGCACTGACATGAACACTGATCCGAACGCTGACACTGTAGGAACACTGTCATCTGCACACTACACACTACAAATTCCATCATGCTTCTGCCCCTGGGAGTCATGCCTTATTGGATTTGTAGTTTCAGCACAGCTGGAGAGCCGAGGTTGCCTACCCCTGGCCTAGATCAAGCCCTGATCTAATAAATCTATGTATTTTATCTTTATTATTTATTTCTACAACTTTGACTTTTTTCCAGCAGCCTCCATCTATCAATCCAATCTATCTCTTTCTCCTCACAGACATTTGGGGAGTTACAGATACAAGGGAAACTTCCTAAACAAGTGATCATTGTGATTGGCTATCACAGCGATCAAGGAAGCTCCTCCTAGCAACTATCGATTGTTATTCCCAGACCAGGAGCTGATGGTGACAACTTGGTTATAGTGTGGTTATAGTGTTGGGGGTGCGTGATCGATCAAACACAGGTATGCATATGTGTGGCAGCACATCATACTGCCCACTCTGTGCTGCCACATGTATGGGTACAGTCTCCATTAAGGGGTTAACATCTGCATGAAATAAAAGAATGCCAGTTAAAGAGGTTATATATTCATGAAAACAAGTTATTCCATTTATTTTTAAACATGACAAATGTATGCCCCTGTATGTGTATTGGTATCAACCTACTGTCATCCCCTGCACAGCAGCACTCAGACTGGCCAATGAAGTGGCAGCATTATGGGGTCAGTCAGGTGTGCTGTATTTATGTGTGCTAACAAGGAACATGCTGACAGAAAGAGGGAGCACAGTGAACAAACAGATGACCTCATCAACGTGCTGATGTTACTTCATGGTTTAATATGGCAGCAGGTGGACCAATTAGTACTGTTGCAACAATGGGGGTCAAGTACCTGGCTATGATGTCTGTATTACAGAACTGGATTAGCAGAATGATGAATCACTTAGCAGGTACAAATGTTCCCATATACTGTATGTAGTTCAGCTGTGCATTCAGCTTCCTCACTGGAGTTCAAATTGACAGAGTACAGTATACTGTTGCATGAATATTCCTCAATATACCAGCTTACATTTAATATCTTCAGCTGCGTTAGTGAAGCTTTAACATAGCTATGGTTGAATGTTTTTGGACACTTGTGTCAGCAGCCCTTTCCTTTCTGCACTCACTGGCAGCCATGATGTTATCATACTATGATAACATTTTATATTGTAAAGCGCTGCGCAAACTGTTGGCGCTATATAAATACTATGTAATAATAATGATAACTATGCTTAAGGTTGCCACCTGTCCAGGATTCACCCAGACAGTCTGGGTTTTGAATGCTGTGTCTGGGTTTCAGCTGAAACCTAGACAAAAGACGTCAGGCAGACAGGGGCAACCAAAATTAAGATAGGGGCTACTGGCCCCCCACTGAAAATAGTCTCGACTGTGATATTTACATATTAATGGGTGGCGCTATTTACATATGAATATGCCGAGACTCATTCTCCCAAAAAAATTTCCGTGCTTTGCTAGAGTGTTCGGGTTTTGCTGGAAGAAAAGGTGGCAACCATAACTATATGCAACAGTGTAAATACTCCTATGAAGAAGAAAGTTTTGTCTTGCTGCTGCAAATGTATCTAACTTCCAGCTAAGCTGTATCATGAAACAGTTGCAGGTCCCCTCATGATATAATTTGCTTAGAGCAGTTATTAGAGCTCTTCTTTACATAGCTGTTTTGTTACTGATTACAAAACGTAGTTTTCACCAGTGTTGTTAAAACCCCTGCACCTGTTTGCTGGGGCAACTTTACTGGAAGCAGCATCTGTGCTTGGGTGAAGCGAACGCTTTAAATCCCATATCCAGCCTATCTAAGCTATTTAATCATGTGAAGGTTCTTTTTTTTACCTAAAATGGAATCCTAGCAGGAAAAAAAATCTGTTTGGTTTTTATTGCTGTCTTTGATATTCTGTTCCAGTGACCTCTACTCCCACATTTCCTGCTGTCACATGGATATGACAATACATTTTCCCAATGGGTAATAGCAATAAAAACCTGACGGATGTGGCTGGAGTTAGCAAAGCTGCAGTTGTTATAAAATAAGGCCCGTTTACACCGGTGCAATTTACTATGCATTGTCCAGCACATGGTAATGCACGACAAGAGGATTGCCATCTAATTTTTATGTGGCCAGTTCACACCTGTGCAACTTGTGTATTTGGGAAAAATAGTACAGGTGCATTTTCAGGGGCATCAATGTGCGTTTTTGGCCCTGTAGTCTTCAATGGCAGACACGAAAAAGCACATGCTGACTCCCTAATCCACTCACTCCACTCCTCACGCTTTTAAACACGCTTTTAAATCAAGGCAAACTGCTAAATTCACAGCTAAATCATATACCGTATATACTCGAGTATAAGCCGAGTTTTTCAGCCCATTTTTTTTGCTGAAAAGTGCCCCCCTCGGCTTATACTCGAGAAGTGTCTTACCTGCCTAAAGATTTGTAATTCTGTTCAGCGAGTCTTTTTATACAGATGTCCCTATTAAACAGCACTGTTGGGTCTGACCTCACTTTTCTCTACTGCAGTTAAAGGGATACAGTTCAGTCAAAGGCTGCCCCAGGCTGTGAGTGGATAGTGAAGGAGCAGAAACACTGTTATGGGGTTAACCCCGTGCTCTCCCCCTATCAGCAAGTTCCCTGTAGTAAGACCTGATTGGCTTATAGCAGTGTCGTGCCGCTCCTTCTGGGCCGCGTGAGGCATCCCCCAGCCTGCCGAAGCTCCACCCCCATCCTGCCAAAGCTCCACCCCGTCCCACCAAAGCTCCGCTCTCAGCTTGATAACCAAGCTGTGTGGGGAGGAGACAGGGAGGAGCCTCCCTGTCCCTCATTTGCTCGTCATTGCCATTGGTCCAAGTCACCCACAGAGCTCACGCCTCTAATACAGATTAAAGGCCGTGACAGCTCTTGCCTCACCAAGTTAAGTTACACAAGCAGTGGGGAAGCCCGCTGCTGTGTAACATAACTACCTGTCAAAAGCCAGATGCAGCGCTGCCTGTAATTAACAGGCAGCGCTCCGTCCATGACAGGTTACACAGCGGGGAGGCTTTCCTTGCTGTGTAACCTGATAGAAGCCGATCTGAATGGAGAAAAAGCTGTCAGCTTCAGACTTGAAGCTGACAGCTTTTTCCTACATAATACTAGGTGAGGCTCTGCCTCACCTGACCGCACGCCCCTGGCTTATAGTACTACCAAATCCTCTGTTGTGCAGGAAACTAGATGAACATAATATAAAGGCAGACTTAGGTCTAATTAAAATACATTTTTAGATTAGTTGGGGGTATTTAACATATGTCTACATTTCTGTTTCAAACACAAAATAAAACATTAAAATATACTGTTCTTCATTCATTAATAACACAAAAATAAAACACATGTTCTGAGATTCTCCCCATGGTCACACAGATCAATCTTCAATTATACCCTGGATGGAGCGTTATCAGTGTTCTAGTGCAGAACAAGG